AAAGTGATGGTTTTGGGGCCAGACAATGATGATTGTGGTCAGACAGTGATAAATTGTGGTCTAGACAGGGGATAGTTGTGGTCCAGACAATGATTATTGTGGTCCAGACAGTTGATGGTTGTGGTCCAGACAATGATGATTGTGGTCCAGACATGATGGTTGGGGTTCCAGACAGTGATGGTTTGGGTCCAGAAAAATGATGATTGTGGTCCAGACATGAGGTTGGGGGCCAGACAATGATGGGTTGGGTGGTCCGACAATGATATTGTGGTCCAGACAGTGATGGTTGTGGTCCAGACAATGATGATTGTGGTCCAGACAGTGATGGTTGTGGTCCAGACAATGATGGTTGTGGTCCAGACAATGATGATTGTGGTCCAGACAGTGATGGTTGTGGTCCAGACAATGATGGTTGTGGTCCAGACAATGATGATTGTGGTCCAGACAATGATGGTTGTGGTCCAGACAATGAGATTGTGGTCCAGACAATGATGATTGTGGTCCAGACAGTGAGGGTTTGTGGTCCAGACAATGATGATTGTGGGCCCAGACAATATGGTTGTGGTCCGGGACAATGATGGTTGTGGTCCAGACAGTGATGGTTTGAGGTCCAGACAATGATGTTTGTTTGGTCCAGAAAATGATGGTTGGGGTCCAACAATGATGATTGTGGTCCAGTCATGATGGTTGTGGTCCAGACATGATGGTTGTGGTCCAACAATGATGATTGTGGTCCAAAAATGATGATTGTGGTCCAGACAATGATGATTGTGGTCCAGACAATGATGGTTGTGGTCCAGACAATGATGATTGTGGTCCAGACAATGATGGTTGTGGTCCAGACAGTGAGGGTTTGTGGTCCAGACAGTGATGGTTGTGGTCCAGACAATGATGTTTGGTCCAAACAATGATGATTGTGGTCAGACAATGATGGTTGTGGGTCCAGACAATGATGATTGTGGTCCAGACAATGATGGTTGGGGTTCCAGACAATGATGATTGTGGTCCAGACAATGAGGGTTTGTGGTCCAAAACAGTGATGGTTGTGGTCCAGACAATGATGATTGTGGTCCAGACAATGATGATTGTGGTCCAGACAATGATGACTGTAGTCCAGACAGTGATGGTTGTGGTCCAGACAATGATGGTTGTGGTCCAGACAATGATGATTGTGGCCCAGTCAGTGATGGTTGTGGTCCAGACAGTGATGGTTGTGGTCCAACAATGATGATGTGGTCCAGACAGTGAGGGTTGTGGTCCCGACAGTGAATGGTTGGGGCCCCCAGACAATGATGATTGTGGTCCAGACAGTGATGGTTGTGGTCAGACAAATGTGATTGTGGTCCAGACAATGTGATTGTGGTCCGACAGTGATGGTTTTTGGCCCCAAAACAATGATGGTTGTGGTCCAGAAAATTTGATGGTTGTGGTCCAGACAGTGATGGTTGGGGTCCAGACAATGATGATTGGGGCCCAGTCAGTGATGGTTGTGGTCCGACAGTGAGGGTTTTGTGGTCCAGACAATGATGATTGTGGTCCAGACAGTGATGGTTGTGGTCCAGACAGTGATGGTTGTGGTCCAGACAATGATGATTGTGGTCCGACAGTGATGGTTTGGGTCCAGACAATGAGGATTGTGGTCCAGACAATGATGATTGTGGTCCAGACAGTGATGGTTGTGGTCCAGACAATAAATGGTTGTGTCCAGACAATGATGGTTGTGGTCCAGACAGTGATGGTTGTGGTCCAGACAATGATGGTTGTGGTCCAGACAATGATGATTGTGGTCCAGACAGTGATGGTTGTGGTCCAGACAATGTGATTGGGCCCAGTCAGTGATGGTTGTGGTCCAGACAGTGATGTGTCGGTCCAGACAAGATGGTTGTGGTCCAGACATTGATGGTTTGGTCCAGACAGTGATGGTTGTGGTCCAGACAATGAGGTTTGTGGTCCAGACAATGATGATTGGGGGCCCAGTCAGTGATGGTTGTGGTCCAGACAGTGATGGTTGTGCCAGACAATGATGGTTGTGGTCCAGACAATGATGATTGTGGTCCAGACAATGATGGTTGTGGTCCAGACAATGATGGTTGTGGTCCAGACAGTGATGACTGTGGTCTCAGCCTGGAGAATAGTTAAGCTCCATGGAGGTGAACTCTTCTCCAGGCTGAGGGACTGACCACCTCTGTATTTGACAGAAAAAGTCTACTGTGTAAGTGAAACGACTCAACAATAAAGACATCCAGGTGTTGTACATGTTTCTTCATCTTCATCGTGAACTTACTTATAACTAAGAGATCAGTTCTAAGTAGCAGAGAAGTGAGAGGCGGTGATAACAGACTTCCGCAAGAAGAAACCTCAGGGTGTCTTCCTTTATCAGAGGTGCCAGAGTTTGTACATCATTCACAATGACATCTGTTAACGATACGAACAACGACAGTGGCGCTGCAGCGGCTAATTTGCGCCTCCGGAAGAATTTGTACTTCACGGAACGTAAAAGAAAAACTCGAGTAATTTCGTAATGAAGGCTCGAACCTCCGTCTGCTACTCGCTCCCCAGTCTCTCTTGGTGATTCTCTGGCCATTATCTTAAAAGAAATTGATAATTTACTGTATAAATAATCGTGTCACCTGAGGCACACCTTTTTCAGTCGATTTTTCTCTCAATTTCTCCTTCTAAAACGCAATTTACATAGTAAATTTGATTTTTTTTTGCGGTTCAAGAAAAATTTGGCATAAATTGTGTCCTTTAAGCGAACGTTGTAGCTACAGTGGCTGCCACGTAAACAGGACACAAACTTCTGAAGATGACTGGTTTAAGAGATTTACTGTCTTGTACAAAAGATTTAAGAGTGGATCAAGGTGGGGAGATGAACGTAAATATTGCCCTGTGAGAGGGCGGGTGACAGTAACACTGCCTCGTGATAGGGCGGGTGACAGTAACACTGCCTCGTGATAGGGCGGGTGACAGTAACACTGCCTCGTGATAGGGCGGGTGACAGTAACACTGCCTCGTGATAGGGCGGGTGACAGTAACACTGCCTCGTGATAGGGCGGGTGACAGTAACACTGCCTCGTGATAGGGCGGGTGACAGTAACACTGCCTCGTGTATAGGGCGGGTGACAGTAACACTGCCTCGTGATAGGGCGGGTGACAGTAACACTGCCTCGTGATAGGGCGGGTGACAGTAACACTGCCTCGTGATAGGGCGGGTGACAGTAACACTGCCTCGTGATAGGGCGGGTGACAGTAACACTGCCTCGTGATAGGGCGGTGACAGTAACACTGCCTCGTGATAGGGCGGGTGACAGTAACACTGCCTCGTGATAGGGCGGGTGACAGTAACACTGCCTCGTGATAGGCGGGTGACGATAACACTGCCTCGTGATAGGGCGGGTGACAGTAACACTGCCTCGTGATAGGGCGGGTGACAGTAACACTGCCTCGTGATAGGGCGGGTGACAGTAACACTGCCTCGTGATAGGGCGGGTGACAGTAACACTGCCTCGTGATAGGGCTGGTGACAGTAAC